CTTAATTCTCAGCTAAATTGTACCTTGCATAGATGTTTCTTTGCGCATCTACATGATCTCCACCATCTTCATCAATATTATAATAAAATAATTTTTTTCTGAGAATAAATTTTGTAGACAGCAGCTGTAATTCTTTCGGCATATGTTTTACTGGCAGAGCCAATATGTGGAACACGAAAAACGATGTTCTCATTCCTTAGGGATATTAACTATTCATCTTTTTTATCGCTATGACATTTAAATTCATGGTTCAGGTGTTTTCTAATCATCGACTCAACAAAACCTAGTGGGTAATCGTTTTTACTCGTTGTATTTCTAATAAACTGTAATTCTTGATCATTCGTGAGACAGCATTCTATTTGTAGATTTTCCGGTACAAAACTCTCCCATCTGCTCTTTAGAATAATGGCATTGATTCAAAGTATTTTCTTTTCTTTTCTTCTTTTTCCTTTTAATTCTACAGCAATTTCTTAGACGCCATGTCGATTGAGAATAATTTAAAACTGTGCATTCTTGAAGAAGGACAGTATTTTAATATATTTTAAAGGAGAACATATTCAGCTGCTGCACTCTCGACTGAGAACAATTTATAAACTTATTCATAAAGGAGAACATTTTCAAACAGTACAATCTCGAAGGAGAACAAACAGCCACTGCAATAGATGCTAACACGTAGTGATTCTGTGATGGTAAAAACATATTCAAGCTTCCGTATCCGAAACTTCGTTGCTTAAAAGATCATCTGACAAAGTGTGCAAGATTCTATAATATGGTTTTCTAGCAACATTAAAATACTCTTGAAAATCTATGCATCCACGCAAATATTGCTATTTGGTATGGATTATTTCATTTTCAACAACAGAAGAGAACAATACTAAGCAGACAACTTACTCAGTACAACGCCACATTCCAGTGCCATCAACTTTACGCGTACGAAGGCGATTATGATATGTTTTATACAATAACTGATCATCTTTACTAGTATCTTCAGTAGCAAATGGGAATGATACTTTTTGTTTCTCAGTAATGCTTTGCCAAGTTCATCGCTTTTATAAGGTGCACCATGTTGATCATCTTGGTATTCTTCAATCTTCTGAACTGCTTTATAGTGGTCTAAACAGTCTCTTCAGCATTATTCTTTCTCTAGTTCAGAGCTTTAAGACGCTTCTTAATTAGCCTCCAAATCGGTTATCTTCCAATTTACAACTGTTCTCCTTCAAGAGTGCACGGTTTATGAATGTTCTCACTTGAGAAACTATTAAGAAAATTGTTCTCATTCGAGAGATCACCATCTTTCACTATACAGAACAACAGTCTGTCTCTAGTTATTATTTGATAATGCTCGTATAAACAGAACAAAATATCACAAAAAGAAATAAAGAAGTTGTTGGACTGCCATTCGTTGTACTACTTGATCTTAGTTTTGGATATCATTGTGTCGCAATCTATTCAACCGTTTAACTATGTTAAAACACAAGCTGTGTGGTCCGCAAGAGCAATAGGTGTCCAGATCCTTTTGCAAATTTCGTAGCTCAATCAAAAATGGTGGTACAGCAGTGCCCAGATATCTCATTTTGCGCAGAATTTTGATCCAGTTGAGACTCAGGTTTTTAGGCCTGTAGTGTGGGTATTTGAACTTTAAGACAGTCGGTAGATAGAGGATGTTGTCTAGTATATGTGATGAAAAAATCTTGACTGAATCTCGTATCGTCACCGAGAAATAGACTCTTTAATTTTATTCCCGCATTCTCTCGGAACACTTTTGTCGTTGGACCTCTAAGACAATTTTCATAGCACCTAAAGAAAAATTCGGGAAGCTAAATAGTTGGATTCATAGGTAACTCAGTATGCTTTACAAGCAATACTTTTTTTCTCAGCCAGATAAGCTGAAAAAGCTTCAGGACATATACTTCGAAGGGTCCTATACAAACTGAGAACGTTAGAGGAAAAATGGGAAAATCTAAAAACTCTAATACGTTCCTACTTAACCCTGAAACGACACCTAAACTCATAAAAAGAACGTCGCATGTAATCTAGACATTTATTTGACAGGAATGTCGGATCCGTCACTATCACGTCTGCCACCACGTGATCACATGAAACGTGACTCAGTCGGCTAGTGGGCAGACAACGTACTTCAAACATGCAGCGTTCGTATTATTCTAAAACCAATGCGGCTATCATGTTGAGAATTTTAAGAATTTTAATAAAAACTTTTAGTCAAATAATAAAAATAAAAATTAAACAATTAAAACTAAAACATTAAAATTATAATTCGATATTTCGACCTATTAATACGGTCATTTTCAAGTATCTCCTCGTACAGGATGTTACATAAAGTTTAAAACAAAATAACTGATTGTATATTATCTAGTGTTTTTCTAATCGAGGCATACACATCACAAAAAAAGGCTGAAAATCCATGTGCATCACAAGGAGAGAAAGAAAACGAGAATATGAATGGAGAATTTCTATTTCTTTCTTCTCTCCTTGTCATGCACATGGATTTTCAGCCTTTTTTTGTGATGTGTATGCCTCGATTAGAAAAACACTAGATAATATACAATCAGTTATTTTGTTTTAAACTTTATGTAACATCCTGTACGAGGAGATACTTGAAAATGACCGTATTAATAGGTCGAAATATCGAATTATAATTTTAATGTTTTAGTTTTAATTGTTTAATTTTTATTTTTATTATTTGATTAAAACTTTTTATTAAAATTCTTAACATGATAGCCGCATTGATTTTAAAATTTTTATTCTTAACTTTGCCCATTAACTCGAAAAACGTTCGTATTATTCATTTAGTAGAAGAGAAAATTGACAATTAAATAATCCCTGTTACACTGGAGATGCCGCTTTCACCGTTCTGAGCCAAGTTCGGTCACTGATTCAGCTTCCAGTCTAAGTCTTACTATATACTGTAAAAGCTTCTAATTGGCTTAACTATGACCAAGATCAAGTTCTGTTTTTTGACTAATAAGAGCAACCAGAGAGTTTTATTTCTTATCATACATTCGATTCTCTTTTTCGTGTTTCTTGACGTTGCATTTACATGTTTGTTTAGTGGTGAATAAGTATTTTCTTTTAACAATGCACGTATGTATGACTGTTTTTCGAGTGTATGTATATACTACATGTATACATATAGTACTTTTGTGATGCAAAAACTTCTATTGAAACATTCTCAGTAATTATTGAAGCAGAGAACGGTAATAAATGTACGGTAAATAAAAGCTGAATAATCATACAGGATAATTATTAATCTTTTTTTCTTGTCTTTTCAGACACAAAATCAATAACTATTACTGTTTTATCAATAATATATAAAGCCATTTAGTTTTTTGTTTTTCATTAGTTCTTCTACATTAAAAATCCAGGTAAACATATAACATATTATTATATAATAATGAGCTCTAGACTCTTAGAACAATATGTATATCTGTTTTTATTATTTATTATCATAAATATAAATAAAAATCATTTTATTAATTGCGAATTTACAAGAGAATTAGTTGTTAAAAAAGACTTTTTTAATGGAATTAAACCAAATGAATTTTCTGTTTATGATACAAGCGAAAAAAATTTAAAATATCGTATAGATACAAAATGGTTTAAAATACATGGAGTTTCAATAACAGCAAAACCATCTAATGAAGAAATAGCTACTGTAGAAGCAAAATTAACATGGCTTTTATATGAAGCCAATTTTCGTATATTAGATAATGGTGTATGGAAAGATGGTACTATAAAACGTAAATTTAAAGTATTTTACAATACATATGAAATTAATTATGATCAAAAAGTTATCACACTAGAAGGTAATATTGCAAAGTCGTTTATAAACTTTCGCTGCGACATAAATTAGTTTTTTATGTGAGAGTCTACACCTATTATACGTCGAACATGCAGAGACACCGAGGTATAAAGAAGATTACAGATCTTCATTTATTTTATCCAAAGCTTGTTTGAAAAGTGATTTCTTAAAAACTCTGAGATTTTTAAGGCGTTCCTCCCCCGTCAGAAATCTATCTCTGAAAGTATGAGTCAGATCTTGGCCAAATTTTTAGAAGATGTCGATCCCGTTAAAATATGGTGTCTAAATTTTTTGTTTGGCTCCCTCTGGCACATTTTGTGAGATGTCGCCACAATAGTGACAAAAATGGGGCTATTCGTAGCTGCAAGTTTTCTCAGTAACAAAACGTAGTGGAGGGCTCGGACTGGTCTTACGTTGATGAAAACACATATGGTCAGAGACTAACAGAGCCGGAGTTTTGATATTTTTCTTTTCAAATTAATGGTCAGCGTCAAAAGTCCAAAATTCGAAAAAGTCTCATTAATTTGCATAAAGATATTTTTCTAATCACAAATCTAGACGGAATATCAAAAATCGGACTCTATTAGCCTCTAGTCACATGTGTCAGCTTCAATTTAAGACCCGAGCTCTCTGCGATGTTTTGTTACCCAGAAATCTTGAAGCTACGAAATGGTGTGCTTTCGAGATATGGTGGCGTCATTATCTAATGCATATTTTAGGGCTTTCAGCAAAACTCTCATAACTCTGGATTAGAACATCATTCAGAGCTCGAAAATATCTGATTTTGATTAGAAACATTTGCTCTATTTCCTGATATTATTAAAATAAATTTTGAATTTGTTTTTCTACTGGAAAGTAAAACTTTTGCGAAAAGTCAGGTTTTCAGAAAACTTTTCTAAAAACCAAGAAAGTCGCAAAACAAGAGAGCCGCACCGAGAGCCCAAAGACAGGAAGACGGTGCAATTGACCAGTTTTTTTTAGAATTTTTCGTTCTGTGCAGAACGCAAGAAAACGATCATGCTCTGCTGAGGAAAACCATGCTTTTTCGGAAGTAGGTGAATCATGACGTATAGTGGATTAATTCCAATGTACTTTTTCTTTGCGTTTAGAATAGATTACCTCTGTTTTTTCTAAAAATTTTCCTACATTTTTTTTCTTTGTTTTGTTTATATCGCTTATTTTTTCAAATCATAGGTGATGTATATAAATGGAATTTGATTTGGAAAGATGTTAATACAGGCAAAGTATATGGTCAAATACGGAAACGTGCAATATCATTAATTTTACCAAATGTTTATGAATTGTTTATGACAGATGATTTTCCTGAAGCATTTTACCTCGTTGGTGTAGCTGTTGCTGATAGATTTAGCTCTAGTAGTAGCAGTAGCAGTAGCAGCAGAAAGAACGGTTAAATAGATATTATTATTGGAAAATTATACATTGACGTTTTGAATTTGCACAAGGTAAAAAGAGTAATATAGATATTTTTTACATTACTTCTTATCTATACATTTTGAAATAAAATAAAATAGGTTACGAATTTTATCATGAAAGAAACCTGAACTGAGTTGATAACTTACTTATATAGATATAATTCATAGAACTATAACCAAACTAATACAACTGCGACACAGTTCAGTACAGAAAATATATACAACGTTAGGTTATAGGCACCATTAGAACAAGGTATTATTTACACAGAATCTCTCTGTTCGTTTTATTGTTGTTTCCTAACGATGACAAGTGTATCTTGTGCAACGTTCAAAAATAAGTAAAAGTGATTTTTTATTAAAATGAACAATCCTGTTCGTTGCAGTCGTTTACTCGATTACTACTACTTACATCTTATCTACTGTTCTACCGTATACTAGGCTTTGTACAATAGAGTATTTTCTTCTAAATGACATGAATCCCACCATTTTCTAATATTCCTTCGAGGATATACAAGATTGTTTGCAAAACGGCTGAAAAACGCTTCATCTATGGTACAACGTCTGCTATTCAAACGAACACAATTTCTCAAATGTTTTTTTTTTCAACAAGACTGCTCAACAAGATCAAATACAGAGTAAACAATAATCAGTGTTGCCCTGACTCAACTTTCGTTCTTGCTTTTAAATCAATCGAAAATGAAGACAAAAAAGCATTCTCAATCTTTCCTTATAGTTCCAGTAGAGCTCTTGCTTCATCATAAAACGCACTAAAAGAGACTATATGTGTTCGAGCGTCTTCTTCTCTTGCTCTGATATTTAAACTGATACATAGGAACACACAAATCCATTATACCTTGTTGCTCAGTCAATCGAATACTTATTGTGATCAAAATATTAGTAAATATGAAACAAAATTAACCGCAGACTTCGATAAAAAAATCAAACTGTATGAAGACACACGCTGCTTACTCATTATAATCTGGAATTAAAACAGCTTGAGACAAATTGATGAATGATGTTCGTGGTGAATTTTCAGCATCGTAAAACCAGTCTTCAAGAATAAGAAAAACAATTATCTCAGAGGCTAAATCATCTAGAACAATACAATCGATGTACAAATTTAAGAATATTCGGTGTAAAAGAATACAAAAGTGAATACACCAATGATATTGTTTTAGCTATGGCTGAAGCGCTCGATATACCTGTTTTCAGTGAAGATATTTCTCGATCACATCGTGTAGGTAACAGAGCTCCGTATGGACTCAAAGGACGGGGGCGATTATTTGACGGAATCGGCCCCTGCTTGAATTCCTTCGACACATACATGGTTAGATGCAGAATGAACAGGAGAACATTTCTAGCCACTCGGCAGACCTTAGAAATGCTCTCAGAAAAAACTAGGTCGACTTTGCTGAAACCAAAGTTCTACTCTTCTTTGTTCAACGATGACGATCCTGTGCTCCACACTTGACCACTAGCCACGACGATATATATACCATTCGATAGAGAATTTCCCGCACTACAATTTCATATCTACAAAGTAGTGATGAATAAAATTGAGAATACCAGCAGAATTTCGGTTTTTGCGCTCCTCATTTAGAAAATATGAAATTTCTCAGTGACAAAGCACAATGAAAAACAAGCGATATGTACTTTTAAAGCTCGTTTAATGGTGATTCTGATGAAGTGCAAAAACTGGCTCCATCTTTTCAAAGAAAAAACCAGATAGGTTTGCAAAATTGTTTCTGAGCTTCTTATAGAGGGAAGGGAGTCCAAGACTGATTGCTTGTTCGTTTTCTATATTTGTATAATCTACCGTTCGATATTGCTTTGTCCAGAGATCAAAAATATTATCATATTTTTACAAAAAGACAATAGAAATGGCAAAAATCAATTTTAAGAGTAAAACGATCAATAACGTATACGAAGCTTTTTCGATGTTGAATTGTTTTCTAATTAATACACCCGGTCTTGAAGACTCAAATTGTGTTGCTAGATAGAGTCAAGTGTCAGACAATTTTTGACAAAGTTTGGGAATGGTACTGTATTGGTTTGACCTGCTATACAAGTTTTAGTGAAGCGTATCAAAAATGAAAATTTCAAATTTTGCTCGAAAAATATATTTTTCTCAAATAACAAACATGTTCTTTTAACTCTTTTATTACCAGTTTATAGCTCGTTTTCCACTTTACAAAATCTAGTATAAACAATATCTTCACTATACTTCCTTACGGTTTGTCCAAGCATACGCTGTGACATTTTTGACACTTTTTTTTTCGCACTCATTTTTGCGAATTTAGAAGAGCTAATAAAAAGCGTCTCGAGCAAAGTTTGTAGAGGAGTAAACGAGCTACTAATTGTTAAAAAAGAATCTTTCCAAAGAGCTTTCCATCCCTCAATAATTGTGTTTTATCGTCGTGACGCTGTGACACTCGTTTTTCCCAACGAAGTTTGGAGCACTAAACATTGCTCAAAGGGTTTCATTTTCACATCAGACTTAGCTTTAGACATCTAATATAGACTAAGGTAAAAATAAAGCTGAAAAAATGTTTTCACTTTCTAAGAATTGTGTGAAAATCTTAAAACTTAAAACTTTATTAAAAAGCTGGTTCTGAGTCTAAAATTCAAAAGAAACATATCATCTTGTAGAGAATCGAATTCTCTATCGATTAGTATGGCCTTCCATTTTTATTAGGAAAAGTGTCTAGGTGAGAAAATTGAAAATACAGTTTTCAAAAAATGTAAAACTGGATTGTTAGTACCAAAATTTAACGTTTTTCAAAAACTACTGTGAGATTTGTAATCAACGTCAAAAACTGCATCTAGTGATATGCTCCTATCAGTTCTACCCTAAAATAATTTTTTCAAAAGCTTGATCAGCGAAGTCTCGAGTTACGTGGACAAGACGACTTACTGAGTTGAAAAACGTTTTTCATCTCATGTCGGTAAATGGTCAAACTATTTAAAAATTTATTTCTTCAGGACGATCATAGTTTCAAAGCAAAAATTATATATGATTAGATGCGCAATAAAATTCTCTATCGAATCTGCTATTCAGCTTTTTGATACTTCACATTTTTAAATGCTATAGGGTTCGTTGTATATATAAACGAACATATGAAATAGTCCGTCTGACGGTAGTTAAAATAAAAGCAACACACAATGATACTAACAGAGAAGGAAAAGAAGTAACAGAAGAGACGTAAATTCTAAAAAGGACTAGAGAATGAGAGATATGATTATTTCATTTTTATTTTAATTCTTTGAATGACGCATCCTTATGGGTATATCTCTTATTCTTCTCGAGCCATTTTTAGAATTTACTTTTATTCTGTTATTTCTTATCCTTCTCAGTTATTATCATCCTGTGTTCGTTCCTTTTATTTTAACTACTACCAGACAGACTATTTCATATGTTCGTTTATATATACAATTTTCACGTATAAATAACAACTGTCTTATCGAGCAACAAAATTCCAGTGTCAGAATTGAATTCTAAGATGCCTCACGACTGACATACCGAAGTTCTCCGACTCTACACGTAAGAAAACCTCATCTTTCAGTCATTCGTGCGTCTCAACTGACACTTTATAGTTGATACTCGGTCCTCATCTTATGCGTCTGTTCAGCCAAATTAACCCAAGACGCAATTGATACTTTATTCGCAGTTACAATTCAAATCCACATTCAAACCACAACCATTTTAACCCAAAGCACAACTATTTTGACCACTATTCAGGACTTTGATAAAAAGCTCGATAATCTTCATCAGTCTCAGACGGTAGTGACTGACGACACTAAAGTAAATCTACTCGAAAAACTAAAGGAAAGATATCGTTTGAAATCGAATCTGGAACGTTTGTTTAATTCGGAGAAAATTCACCAGATCGACAAAGGTTATATTAATTTATCAATTGTTGAAAAAGCAGAACAAGACAAAAAAGAATTGACGGTTCTTCAAAATAAACATCACTATTCCACCTATGAAGAGATCTATGGTGCAAAAACAGCAATCGAAATTGAAAATTTGTTCGATTCATGCAAACAAAGTCGAACGAAACATGTATTGGGTATCCAAAAAACTTCGGTGGCGGCGCCGAAAATCAAAAAAAAATAAACAATCAGCAGCGGCGGCGAGGAACTAGAGAAAAATTCGACGTCTTCAGCGGCGGTAGGGCCGAGAATCTTAGTTATCCATCGGTGGCGGCGGTGCACAGCTTTACCCACACCACCTCCATCTACCCTGGTTTGTACGCTACAGGCAATCTCCGAGGATCTGCCTACCGGCTAAACCTGAACTCCGGGAAGCTCAAAGGTACATGATACATACAATACACCTTAATCATAAGAATACATTTTTAGAAATTATTCATGATGTATGCTTGAAAAGAAATCCAAAACCTGATGCTTTTGTTCATGGTGAGCAATTTACTATCCATCCCAAAATACAGTGCGGTGGGCATTTTTTGAATAACTTCTGACAGAAATGAGACAGAGTCCTGCAGTTTACACCATTCGAAAGAAGACACCTGAACATATGTTTATGTACGCAAAAGCGAATTTTGGAAAAATTGCTGAAATGGATGTTTCAGAGGATCTTTGAAAAACTAGCTTAGGTTTTCCGAAATTCACGTAGTAATGTATTGGTATTTTTTCATGGACTGATAGCCTTGAGTGTTCTCTTCAAAATGGGAGTAAAGTGAGATCTTGATTTTCTGTGGTTCGAGCGTTGTATCGGATTTCCGACGAGTTCCAGGACTGGCACCAGATGGCTCTTGGTACCCTTAAAGACGAATGGACTATGGATAATCGACCATGCTGAGTCTCGTGGCAATATTTGTTTTTAGAAACCTCCTGAATAGCCAGCTTTGCGAAAATTAGACTTCATGTTAAATTCGTACTCGTAACGAGAGGTAAAAAGGCTTCCGTGCATCTAGTTTTGGTTGTTTTGAACTCGTACGAGTTTAAGAACATGTTACGAGTTCAAAACTGTGCTATGTTCTAAAATAGTATAGGGGAGGCTGTTTTGAACTCGTTCGAGATTGAAAACTTGGTGCTGTAGTGTTCATGTCCATTCACTCGCATCGTGCCGTCAGCCTCAGCCTCTCCTATACTATACATAACAGTTTTGAACTCGTAACGAGTTTACAAGTTCAAAACAGCTTTCCAGTCTAAAAGACGACGTTAGTATTTTTGCTCTCGTAACGCGTTTAAAGACTACCTTCCGTGGGATAATGAGAGAAATGAGCTCGGTTATAATAAAATTATATTTTATTTATATAAATGAGAGTTTTGTGCTTGGAAATTAATTTATGAAAATTAACAAATGATTTTGTGAATAGCAAAATATATTTAATTAGAAAAAATTGTTTAAAAACAAGAAAAGTACTAGATTACAATAGCTTTTCACTAATATTGAGTCTTTTGTAAAAGCTAATTTAACTTTCTTGGATGCATTTCACTTCTTATCCCATTTGGCGGTGGAACTGAATGAACACTTTCTCCAGCATACTTTTCCATTTTCCATTGTCAAATCTTTTGCTAAGTCGTATAAATTGGTAAGCTTTTTATGTTGTAATCATTATATAAGTTCCCATTCATGCCCCCATCATTACAAGCTCAATTAAATCTGTTGTTTCATAACATTTCGTCGAACTATACTTTACTACTGACAAACCATTCGTTAATTTTCATAACTTACTTACGGAGCTCATTCTCTCTTTTTATCGACAAAAATAAAATTAATCGAGCTCATTTATGTCTTTTCAGAGTATAAATTAATTTTCAAGCTTAAAACGCTCATTTATATAAATAAAATATAATTTTATTATAACCAAGCTCATTTTTCTCATTTTAAAGCCACTAAACACACCTAGTTCAAATATCTCTTGTTTCCGAGCTCATTTTAATTTCGCATCCTATCGAAATTATAAAGAAATATAATTGATCAGATCGTTAGAGGGTCATGCAAAAACAAAAATGAAAAGAAGCAAAATCTTGCTTGGTGTTATTCCTGCTTTAAAACTTTATGTCATAAAGGGTTTTGGCAATGGCAATAGTGTGGATCGGTTAAATTTCCTTCGTGGTTTTCGAACAATACATGCGTACGAGATAGGACCTCTAATATTTTCGCCTACTTCTTGAGCGACGGTACCGTTATTTAGAAAGAGTTTCAGACTGAAATTATAATTATAAAGTTATATTCTTCAGGAAATTTTACGGTTGAAAGAAATTCAATTTTTTTTATTGAGTCGGATTCTGGCTGAAAAGTTATTATCCCCACAGTATTCTTTTGACAAAGTCTCTTTCAGACTAACAGAGTCATGCTACATAACTTCATTTTGCATTCAATTTATTTTTAACGCATTTGTTGATCTCTTCGTCAAAAAGACATTTTTCTTGATTAAATACATAAAATTACAAATTAAAAACGAAAGTTTGTGTTCTTTTTCTTTTTATATGTCAATATTTGCCACACGTTTAACTAATTCGTCAAAATCATAATGTATTTTTTCTTTTTTATTATCGTGACGTCTTCTCGTTTTCGTTGTTGTATCTACACTTGTATTGCTTTCAGTTGGATCTTGTTTAATAAGATCAGGTGTCAATAGCATAACACAATGCGCAAACCAGTGATATGATTTAACCAACTGGCAACCTTCATTCTTTAACTAAAGACACATAAAACACTAGGAATATAGAATTTCTCTAAATGAATCGTTTTGCTTACTTGGGCAGCTAAAGCGCGATCAGCTGTTACTACAATTGTATGTTCATTTTTACCATGATTCTGTTTAGCTAAATCAACTAGCATATCATCTGTTGTTTTATATTTTGGTTGTGCACTTTGTATATTGACAGTGCCAATCGTTTCGACTTGTTTTGTTGAATCGTATATTAGATTAACATGCGGAATTTGTAATTTTTCATTCCATGCCGAAGCTATTTGTCCGATTATCTGTTCTGTTTTTTTTCCATGACGATTTAAACATAAACGACGTAGTGAGTCAATAACAAACATCATATTGTTACCATCTAGATAAACTTGTTCTATATTTGATGGCCAATCTTGTTTGGATATAATGGACAAATAAGCTTGTTGCGTTTCATTCAATAATTCACGTTTCTGAATTTAGTAAAGTTCAATTAGTTTTATACACGCAACTCACAACTATCAGTACTGTTCTTTAATGGTTTATAGACAGGCGACTCTAGAGATCAATACGAACCAAATGAGAGATTCACAAGATCAATGGCACTACAAGTGTACCCTTCAAGGCTGAGGCGAGAAGAAGGTCTACGAAAGGGGCTGAAACTTTACTCTTTTGAATTCATAGTTATGTATAGAACATCAAACAACTAAAGTAAAGCTTTCATGGATTACAAAGGTCCTAGGCACAGTGGGCATTTTTTGCTAGAGCAGGCGGACCTTAGCTTTATGAGTGAACTAAAATTTCATGAATCATTTTTTTATAGGTTTTTCATGATCCTCTTTCTAATGCCATGAGAGTTGGGTTTTAAAAAAGTTTTCTAAGGAGTTTTCCAGAGATCCAGTCTATGGAAAACCTTTCAGAAAACTTTCTCAATATTTAAAAACGATGCCACTGGAAAGAGCATTGTCGAAAACCTATAAGAAACATGTTTCGAGTCGTTCAGGTTACTTTATCTTG